TTTGCTTCAGGTGTACAACTCAGTGGTCAGGCATCTACACTATCTATGAAGTGGTCTCCCTAATAAGACAAGTGCCCATCTGACATCCTACAAAATCTTTATAACATTATTGATTATATTCCCCTAGAGGTTTTTTTTTTTGGTTTTAAGAAAGTCGGATGTTGATGAGAAAGTTGTATATTGATGAGGTAGTTGCATGTTGATGTTTATGTTATTTAAAAAAATTTTTTTAATTGGGGAATTGGTGGGAGGGGAACAGTGTTGGGGAATTGGGGAAGGGGACCAGCCAAGTTGTTGTTCTTCAATCTTAGTTGTGGAGGGCGCCAGTTGCCGTCTGGCTGCCCGTCAGCAGCTCGTGGCCTCTAAGCTCAAGGTGCTGTGTTTTATCTTAGTTGCGGGTGGGCGTAGCCACCATCCCTTGTGGGAGTTGAACCGGCAGCCTTGTTGTTAAGAATGCATACTCTATCCACTGAGCCATCTGGGCGGCAGCTCAGCTCAAGGTGCCAAGTTCAGTCTTAGTTGCAGGCGGGCATAGCCCACCGTCGAACAGGCAGCCTTGTTGTTAGGAGCACGTGCTTTCACCAGCTGAGCCATCCTGCCACCTGTTGGCAGCTCAGCGGCAGCTCAGCTCGGGTGCAGTGTCACTGGCCCATGTGGGAATCGAACCAGCAGCCCTGTTGCTCAGAGCTCGCGCTCTTAAGCTAACCCTTAGCCAACTGAGGCACTCGGCTGACCCGCATGTTGATGTTTAGACTATGATGAAGAGCTGTTAGAGGGAGCCTTGTGAAAGTGGGAGTCAGTCAGTCTGTCTAGCACCCAGTTGAAACCATGGTCAGACCATAGCATAGTTAGAGAAGGAAGTCAAAGGCAGGCATGTCTCTCAGGTTCTCGGACCCTTTGCCAGTCAGAAGCATAGACCCTGCCTGTCCCGCCTCGCCAGGCTCCTGCCCACGACGTTCCAATTCTGTCTTACCTTCTTTCCACATCTGCCTGCGCTTGAGGAGCATATAGTCTTGTAAGGAGACAGGTGTGTCAAACTGATGCACACCTCAAAACTTATATTGTGGTTTTGGAAGTCAGAGTGTGTCCCCGGGATATGTAGAGAGACCATGTCTGTGTCTGGGAGAGTTGTGGAGTGTCGAAAATATTTTTTATTACCGAGATTTTCAAGTGGTTTTCTACAGTGAAAAAATCTCTTTAAAATATAAGATTATGACGAACCCCAGGGCAGGCAGTTCTTGATTTGCTCAAGGTGAACAGCTAGCTGCAGCCTAAGCTGTGCCTGCATTTATCTACTCAGGAGCAGGGGACAGAGAGGTGGGAGGTGGTGCAGGGTGACAGTGCAGTGGCACACCTGCAGCATCGTTCTCTCACCCACACACTTTCCACTGCCATGCACGCTGGGTTGAGGCTGGGTTTTGTGTTCATTTACTCGGTAAAAGTTTATTTTTGTCATAAACCAGTTTTATTTTTATACTGGGAGAAAGCACATTCCAAAGCTGTCACAATTTTAGGTTTTTGATGTGAAAAGAAGCAAACGCCTAAGATCCTCTGACAGTGGGGCAGCTGATCCCCTTTCTCTAGCATCGTGGTCGTCTAGCACAGAGGGCCCTCCCACGCCTTCTGTGACTCTCCGTCCTTTCTTCTTCCACCCATTCTACCATTCATCCTATACACTGAAGTGTCCCCATCACATAAATAATAAATACCATTAACCATCACTTATCGAGCACATCCTAGCGTGGGACACTATTTAAGCTCTTCACATGCTTTAACAGCATGATTCTCATGGCATCACTGTGATGAGGTAGATAGGATTTCTCATGTTGTGCATTTGAGGAAGCTGAGGCTCAGAGATGTCGGTGACATGCCCAGGCCTGTGGAGCAAGGATCAGAGCTCACATCTCTGATCCTGAAGCTCATGCTAGCTTAACAGAGTACAGGGTCTCCCACATGTGTCTGGAGCTCCCAATCCTTTCCTGTGCTAGTATTTCTTATGGGAAAATTGCTTTTGACATATCTGTTTCTAGGTGGCCCTGCTCTTGCAAGTACTTACCCTTTTCAGCATTTCAAGGGGTTCTGGTGTATAAAAATGACGAAAGCGTGATGATGGTTGAAACCTTCATTTAGGTCTCTGATCAAATGTCACCTCTTGCAAGAGAGGCCTTTCCTAACAGCTCTTTCTAAAGTAGCACCTTTTGTTCTTTGTTTGATTTCCCTTCATAGCATTTATCTCTGCCTGGCGTTACATATACACACCTGGTTGCAGGGTGGGGGTAGGGGCTATATCTAGGCTTATTTGTTGTTTTTCTAATGCAAACTCCATGAGGGCAGAACTTCTTCACTGTTGTATTCCTGGTACCTAGACTAGTGCCTCACATGTAGTAGGTGCTTAGTAAACATTTGTTATTTGAATACATAGTAGAAAATGCTTCACTGTTTTGTAAACTCTCACTGAGTGAAAATCCTGTCCCTTCCTCCCCTTCATACTCTGCTATGTACTCTTCCAGTCATTTTCATATGCACATATATAAATACATGTAAATGTACACATATATGAGGCCCATTGTTTTGCAACTTGTTTTTCCCCCCTGCTAATCAGAATGCCTTGATGAGCTCCTTGTTAGTCCTGCCAGACCTACAAATATGAAATGACTCATTCAGCCAACTTCTTGTGGATGAGCCTATAGGATTCTGGTATATTTGTCTTTGTGTACATTAGCAAGTGTTTCTTCTACAGATAAATAGAATTGCTAGGTCATAGTGAACGAGCATTTAAGATTTTTATAGGCCCTGAGGTGGGAATTTACCTGGTGTGTGCCCTCGGAAATCAGAGGCCAGCGTGGCTGGGGTCGAATGAGTGAAGGGAAGAGAGTAATAGATGAGATGTTTTTTCATTGGATAAGGTTGTGTGTGCAGCAGACTGCAATAGGGCCTGGTAGGGATTAAGGCTTTTACAGAGTGAGGTGGTGGTGGTGGTGATAATTGGGCAAAAGATGTGAACATAGGAGTATGAAAAAATGCAGAAGGCAAGTAAATATAGGGAAAATGATTAGCCTTGGGAGTATAAGAAAACCTCAGAATCCCAATTTAAAAAATCACTTTTTACTTCTTAAATTAGCTAAGCTAAAATAGGACTGGAAATCCTCCTTGTTGGCAGGGTGAGGTGGGATGGACCCTTTCATTCTTTATTGGTGGGATTTCAAGTCTGCGTATCTCTTTTGGAAAGCAAGTTGGTAGTAATATGGATCAAGAGCCTTAAAGCCATCAGTAATTCTTTCCGTCTCCAGGCACCCGACAAATACTATTGTGTGCTGGGTTCTGAGTGAGTTCCTAAAAGCAATGAGGGTATTTTTAGTGACACCAGAAATGCTTATAGTATATGATTTGTAAAATAGAATATGAGATGTAATATGGTATCAGTTAGGCAAAGAAAATACATCAGAATGCTAATAGTGTTGGGATTATGGGTGTTTGTTTATCAAACTTATTTGTTTATATTTTTACTTTTCATGTCTTTCGATAGTGAATATTCGGCATTCGATAGTGAATATTCGGCATTCATCAGCTCAAAGTTTGTTACTATCTGTGATTGTTGGAGGTTTACTCAGTTTTTCAAAGAAGCATTATAAAAAGTTTTATAAAGAAACAAAAAAGAATAGGGCCATTGATTTCAAATCTCAATAAAAATATAATCTGGAATAAAGGAGAGCCTAGCAAAAGATTCAGATCTTTTCCTCAGAGGATCCAGAACAATAGGATAATAGGATTAATAAGGTAGCACCATGCATTTGTCACAGGAATTTCCCCCCTTCCTAGAAGTGGTTTTTAAAATTATTATAAGGATTAATTCCATCTCTGAATTTTGCCTGTAACCATGTGATGTGTCTGTAACTGTGCTTCCCTTTATAAGAAATGTGTTTTCATTTCAGCGGCCTCATCGTTCCTGAGAGAGATGGCAACGAGACAGTCCCCGAGGTGGTTGCCACATCAGGTTATGCCCTGCTGCATTTTTTTAGTGATGCTGCTTATAATTTGACTGGATTTAATATAACTTACAAGTAAGATATTTAAGTCTAATATTTGTGGTTGTATTCAAAAGACTATGTACTTTGTTTTAACAATAATAATGACTAACATATATTGAGGGCTTACAGTGTGCCAGACATTGCACTAAGCAGTTTGCATGGATTTTCTCCTTTGCATTTATTTTTTTTTTAAAAACTCAGTGAGGTACGGGCACTGTTTTTCTACTCATTTTATAATTGAGGAAACTGGTGGGAAACAGTAAATTGTCAAATGGTGGGACCACAGTTTCAACCCAGGTCTTGCTGCTGTTGAGCTTCTCCTGGAAGAGAGGGGCATTTAGCCGCTGATGGATAAAAACACCGGGGTTTTTGCAATGTACGATTTAATAAATAGTAGTTTTCATGTACTAGTAGTTGACCCATTGATGACAACTTAGTTGAGGTTACAAAGGAAATGTAGACAGACGGACTTAGGCAGCTTTTGGAATTTGTTGTGATAGGAGAGAGGCTAACTTTTGTCTTTTCTTTTTTCCTCTTAAGAAATGTTTCTTTTCACGAGGAGTTAAGTTCATAAAATGCCATAAACAAGTTTTTTTGTGATAAAGAGCTTCTGTGGCCCACAAAGCCTAAAATACTGTTTGGCCTTTTACAGAATAAGTTTGCTGGCTCCTGGCATAGGCAGTAACCTCCACTTGTAACCTTTATGTTGAGTTCTTTTTTGCCCATTTTCTCAGGATCCCAGTATTCATTCAGGCCAATTTGAAGCCATCTCTGTCTTGATTGGTATGGCGATTCAGTCTTTCAGGCGCCTAGGGTTTGTGACTTGGCAGCCCGGGCAGCTTATCACAGTTCTAGCAAGGTGTTTTTTAGGGACACAGGGAGGCATAAATTAGGCTGCGGGGGAGAGGCTGATGAGTTCGGTTGGGTCCATGTGAGAGTGTCTCAGCAGGGTCTTGATATTCGGATCTTGAACTCAGAATTGCTGTCAGGGCTGGGGATATCATCTGGGAATCATCAGCACATGGACAGTGACTGACTGGCCTGTGGGGCATGTGCACAGCAAGGAGAGAGACAATAGAGGCAGCAACGGGACAGAGGCATTCCAGGGGCCTTTTTTGTCACAGAAGCTCAGAGAAGAAAGTCTCAAGGAGGAAGCTGACAGCTGTGAGGTTGAGTAAGCAGAGACGGTCCTAGGTCACCTTAGCTGGAGAGGGTGGAGTCAGGGGCGTGGTGGGGACACAGTTCAGGATGAAGGTTAGAAGGTCATGGCATTGAGATTCGACACTCTGTGAATGAGTTCCTCTCTGAAGGGGAGGAGAAAGAAGGGAGATGTGGGTTTAGGCCAGGGCTTCTGAAATTTCACAGGCACAGGGGTCTTCTGGAGGGCTTGTTAAGACACAGATTCCTGGGTCCTACCTAAAGATTGTAGCTCAGTAGAGCTGAGGCCTGAGTATCTGTATTTCTGATAAGCTCCTGGGTGCTGCTGCTGCTGCCTGTCCGTGGGCCACAGTTTGAGTAGCATTGAGCTAGCCTTTCATCCAGGTCCCACTCTGGGTTCCCTGTAGGTTCCTAGGTCGGGCGAGAGGGCATAGGCTTCACTGTTACATGGCCCCTCACTGTAGCAGCCTTGGGGGATGAGAAACTCCAGGGAGAGAGCATTCCAGGAGAGAAGGCAATTCACACACCCCTTGATATTGGAAGCCCTTTGCCCATCATCACTGGAGAGCTCTTCTCCCAGCTCTGTAGCCAGTGTCTTTCCCGGGAAGGCATGTTTTTCTTACCTTAATTGGTGTAGGGGAAAGCCTTGATCCTCCCCTAGGGACCAGAATTAGTATTTGTTAAACGAAGGAATGAAGCGGTTATCGTAAATCATATTAGCTTTGTGGTTCCAAGATCTCTGTTCTTTAGAAAGGAGTCCTAAACTGTTTTAGGAGTCCCAGACCCTATGAAAAGCCAAATGAAATGATGGTTTTATTCCCAGAAAAATGCCCAGGAGCACATACATAAAACACTATCATTCATTTTCCCAGTGTCCTCAGGTTGTACTGAATCCTAGCTTCGGGCTGACTTCAGCTGGAGGACCCTTTAGATGTGTACCCACATCTACTGAGGTGTTTCTTAATTTTCTTTTAAAAGAAGAAAAAAAAGTTGTATTTGATTTTCACACAAATTGGCACTCCATCTTATTTCTCATTCTGAGTCATATTTTAAGCACAGAAAATTAGTTTGACTAATTTTCTCATTACTTAAATTTAGACAGATATACAAGCAGATTGTTTGAGGTATTACCTGCCATTTTCACGTTTTAGAGATTCAAAAATAAATCTTGTGGTTTGAGATGTAACTCACTGCTCTAAAGAATGCTCAGTATTAATTTTGGCACTTGAAGTAAACCTATGTCTAAAGGCATTTGAGTGGAGAGGTTGAGGTTTAAGGGGAAGTTGAAGTTATACTTTTTTTCCCTCCTTCAGTTTAAAAAGTGATATGTGTTACCTCCACCTCTTTGTTTTTCAATAACATTAAGTTTAGGTTATTTGCTACTCCCTCATGTATGGTATATAAGTGTGTCTGTAGGAAATTGACATATGGTTAGTGTAAGACATAAGTTTGAGCACATGATGGAAATGTTTTACCTCAGTTTTCTTTTAGGCCTTTTATAAAAATGAAGTGTTATTATTGNCCTTCAAATTGGCCTCCTGATTTTCGCTTTTGCCCCTTGCCCTACCTCTCTCTCACTTCATAACTCGTGTGATCCCCGTTTGCTGTGTTTCCAACATGCTGATTGTCTTCAGATTGTTTTGACACATCAGCTTCTCTCTCCTTAAGACTTGCAGACCGAGCTGTTCCCTCTGCCTGAAGCATTGTCCTCAGGCTTTCACATGGCTTATCTCTCATCATTCTAATATCCAAAGCGCCCTGGGGTATTTCCCCACCACCTGTGCACACCATATCACATTCCTTTAGTTTCTTCACAGTGCTCATCACCATCGGAGTTAACTTGTTTATGTTTTTATTTAGTTGTTTGCTTAGAGATGTTAGTTAGACAAATAAGTATGGAGTAGAGGAAAAGCCTAGGCTGGAGACATATAATTAGGCCTAACCAGGAAATAAATGGTGTTGCTATTACCAAGAGCTTTTTGAGTGGAGTGTTTGAGGTGAGGTCAGGTTAGAGGGTTGAAGGGGTGAGTGGGATGTGAGGAAATGGAAAAAGTCAAGTCTTCAGAGTTTCACTCTATTAAGAGGAGAAAGGGATAAGGTGGGAAATAGCTGGAAGGAGAGAGAGTTGGGATTTGAAGCTTTTTATGTTTTGTTGTTTTTTGTAAAATATGTGATACTTAAGGAGATTGAAATGTGGGTGTGGAAGTTCCAGATGAGAGGGAGGTGTTAAATATTTGAGAGATGGAAGGAAGAGTAGGTAGGCATATCTGTTTTGGAACATGGTAGTTTGAGAGATTTTTGTCTGGTTGCTGAGCGTGAGCAGGGAGGTGGGACTGAATGGTTTGAAAGCACAATTGAGAGTTAGTAGTAATTGTAGACAGGGAGAGAGAGTGTTAGTAGTAGGACTGCGGGCCGAATTGAAGTGCCATTTGAAGATGGGGAGCAGTAACTAATACTGGAACCAGCCTGCCCAGTGGTGTGACATTCTCTGGCATGGCTTAGTTTTCTGTGAATTTAATCTAAGCTAAAGCAGGTAACTGGTTTCCTTCTAGACAAGGGCTTTTGCCAGGCAGTTCCATAAAGAGGCAGAGGGCAGGCCAGTTTAGAGAATTGGCAAGTGTGTTTGTGAAATAATCTAGTGTGGAATCTTAAATTGAATAAGGAAGTACAGGAATTGCAAGGGCTGATAGGTTG